AAGACCTCAGGATTAAAAAATTCTGGGCTATTCAGATTTGAAATCTGTCCCTGGTCCTGGGGCATGAGGGTTTTGGAGTGAAGAGCTAATGGGGCTCAGTCAGGGCCAAATCCAGAGGGATCCTCAGGACTGTCTGCTCCTTTCCCTGTTTCCTGCAGCTGCCAGCCTATTTCTAACCTCCAGAAGATTTCTGGAAGCCCTGATTTGTTCTGTGCTGGCTGCATGGTGCAAGCGTGTAGGGTTTGCGATTTCTCAGGAGTCCCTATGAATGTACTGTATAATCTCTGATATTGTCATCCGCAATTAGCATAGTGCACATTTATTGCGCTGTACTTTGGTCAGGTCTTGTGCTAAGCGTTTTGCGGGCATCATCCTAGGGACTCAAGGTAACTCCTTACAATGTAGGTGCAGTTATTTCCATTAAAGATAAAGCGACTGAAAGTCCAGAGTTTAAGGAATGTTCCCAAGTCTGGCAGCAGGTGGGTGGTAGAACTGGGACTGGAACCCTGACTGACTGACCCCAGAATTCTTGATCTTGGTCTTAAATTGCTGCTTTTTATCTTTAAATTCTAAACGCCTCCCTGTGGCCTAGAGCAATTTCACATTGATCCTTTCCTGTCCTTCTGTTCCAGCCGTTGACCTTTGGCTCAAATATACCAAACTCATTCTTGCCCCAGGACCTTTGCACATGTTTTCCCTCTCAGCCTTTCTCAGATTTCCACATGACTGTCTCTCCTCCCAGCCCCCTTTTTTTAATGGGGTGAGGGGCAGAGGGAGAGGGAGAGAGAAAATTTTAAGCAGGCTCCATGCCCAAGCAGGAACCCAATGCATCTCATCACCCCAAGATCATGACCTGAACTGAAACCAAGAGTTGGCCACTTAACCGACGGAACCATCTGGGCACCCCTGCCTCTTTTTTATGCTTCAGGCCTCACTTCAGAGAGGCCTTCCTGACCATGTATATATATAAAGCCGTCCCTTTTCTATCACACCCATTGCCTTTCTCTGCTTTACTCTTATTTATAACATGTCTCGCTTGTTGGTTCAGTTACTCATCTATTGTTCTGTCTCCCTCACTAGAATGTGACTTCTGTGTTCCCACCTTTCTTCCTATAATTGGCACAGACCAGGGGCTCAGAAAATATTTGTTGAATGAAATACATCCTGAAACCAACCAGGAGGAGGCGAAGGTGGGGTGGTCTGCAGGGGTGAGTGCAACTTGCATAGTCCTCTTTCCAAACTGGCAGCTGCCCTTTCCTAACTGCCCAGATGGAAAGCCAAGGCTCAGAGGAATGCCCAGCCCAAGCAGCAGCTCAGTGATAATAGCCCCCTCCCCCAGAGCCCATTGTTGTGCTCCCCAAGCCCTTTCTCAGGTGGCACACCAGGAGATGTCCAGGAGGTCAGCTGGGGGCTATGCCACCTCTACTTACCTGACAGGAAGTCTTCAGACTGCAGGGCCAGGGGACTTGGTCCCAGAGACAGTATGGAATGGGGCGGTGGGGGGCGGTGGGCGTGGGAGCCCAGAGGAGAGACACCTGACCAGCTCGAGGTCTGTGGGAGCTGCCTGGGCTAGAAGCTGATAGGAGCTCCCTCAGGGAGTTTCAACCTTGGCTGCACATGGAAGCCTGCTGCATGCACGAGCCCCTGTCCCAGAGGTTCCGATGTAGTTGCAACCTGGACATTGGGATTTGTGAAAGTCTCTAGGTATTATCTATTGCGGCATAACAAATCATCACAAAACTCAGTGGCTTAAGACAAAATAATCTTTTTTTTTTTTTCATCTCTTGGATCAGTTTCTGTTGGATAAGAACTGAGGAGGGGGTTGGCTCAGCAGTTCTGTCTCAGAACCTCTCACTAGGCCTCACGTGAAGGCTTGATAGGCTGCCTCCCCTGGGACCAGAAAGGAACTGTCCTTGGTCTACAGTTCACTCCAGTGCCTGCCTCTCAAACCACCTGGAGGCCTCCAAAGAGCCAGTTTCCACCGGCCAAAACAAAATACAGCCATGGGAGGCACAAGGGATCGGGAGCTGGTATCCGAGGGTGATTTCATATCACTTTCAAGTTGAGTAGAGGAAACACTGCCAAGGTCAGGGTGCTGGGGAAGCACCGAAGCAGCTGCAGGCCTGTGGATGGGGCAAGATGTTATTGTTGTTCACACCCTGGGTCAGGATGAGACCATAAGGATCATCTAGCTCCCTTTTATCTGGGCACACTAATGACAGCTTGTCCACCCTCCTATTCTTGCAGGCTCTCCCTCCCCACTCCCACATGGTGGGAGAAGGGAAGGCCCCGGATGATTTTAATCACGTGAGCTGCTACCAGGGGCTTAACAAATCCTCGAAGACAGGGAGCATCGCCAATATGCTGGTGGCAAGTGAAGATGCCCAGAGTTCTAGAATCTGAGTGTACCCAAAGAATGTCTCTTTATGTGGCCTAACTTGGAGTCCAGGGGAAGTTCCTTCTGCCCTCTGTCTGCCCTCTGTTTGCCAAAGGGAATAAAGCTCAGGATTTTTGTGTTATCCTATTTGTTTTAAGCTCCAGGGCATGTAGGGCAGAGGCAAGTTTTGAAGATGCAAGGGTCAGCAGGACCTTTATCCAAACATCTCAAATACCTCCCAACCCCTGATTAAAGTTTTACATCTCAGAGAAGAATCCAACCACAACACAATTGTTGTCATTCTCATTTTAATGACAGGGAAGCTAAGGCCTGGCAGGCACCCTAGCAATGCGTTTGTGGGGTCATATGCTTCTGAAAAACTTGCCAAAGTGAGATATTTGAACCTCACTCTGGTGAAACCACCATCTCCTTCCATTCTGACTTCCCTTCATGTCAGATGCTGTTGGAGTGAGTGTAAGCATTTTGGGGATTTGGCTAAGGGGACCTTGACATTTAGTGTGGGTTTAGTGGTCTTATTATGTTGTTTCCAGTCACTTTTGTGAAAAGTTATTACCAACTGGTGATGACTTCCAGGAATACCCCTACCTAGCACACTGAGGTGTTCTGTGACATCTGCCACAACCAACACTGTGACATAAAAGTGCAGGGTCAGAGGTCATATCTCAGTATATATAGATGAATGGTTCTACAGTGCCCAATACCACCAGTATGTAGAGTATGTAGAGAAGAGGTATGAAATATATATATTGGGCCAGAATAAGCTTGTTTGTGACAAGTATTATGGAGGTATGCCAATTTTGTAATTCACAGAAATAATGTTATTTTTCTACATTTTGTAAAATTTGTGGAATTTGCCATTTGTTGAGGTTTCTTTTATCTTTCTAACCAATCACTTTTTACTACCTAGTTCTAAATTAGTAATTTTGTAGCTTTTTTCTTAAATAAATCTCCCTAAATTGCATAAACCTCAGGAAGTACATAGTCTGAATCTGACCCTGTTCAGTTTTCTCTATCGTTTATGATCACAGAACTCTCCTTGTCCTTCCTCACTGCTGCTGCCAACAGGTGTTGTACAAAGTTTACATGGCAATATAACAGAAGGGTTCAGAGGACTCCTGCGGGATCCAGACAAACCGAAGTTTTTTTCATTTATAAAATGAGAATACTAATAGAATCTCTCTCCCCACATAGTAATGAAGTCAAGTGAGAAAATATGTGTCAGGCCTTGAGCACAGTCTAGCAGAGGGCATAGTTAGTGCCACAGTTGACATTTAGCTGGTCATCACATATAGTCGGGACTCCCTGTTTATGACGGTATCTATTCTGATTTGTTTGGTGCCCATGCCAGAACGAGCAATCACTGTGAGCTAGTGATAGCTGGTGATTAGTCCCCCCTCCCCCACTGGCCCAAAATATGTATATAGTAAGTGCTCAGTCAATGACAATCCAATCAAAGAATGAAAGTCTCCATCTGGATTAGAAAACAGGTTGGCTTCAGATTCAACAATGCCCTAGACCCAAATAGTGACTCACAGCTGTGAAATTTCCTCATCTCAAAGGGTGCTTAGAGTTCATTTATTCGAATCCTTTTTAAAAACCTGTGGTTTTGGGATCCCTGGGTGGCGCAGTGTTTTGGCGCCTGCCTTTGGCCCGGGGCGCGATCCTGGAGACCCGGGATCGAATCCCACGTAGGGCTCCCGGTGCATGGGGCCTGCTTCTCCCTCTGCCTGTGTCTCTGCCTCTTTCTCTCTCTCTCTCTCTCTCTGTGACTATCATAAAATAAATAAAAAAATCTAAAAAAAAAACCTGTGGTTTTTTCCATTGACGTATTTAAGTGTTGGAAAGTGGAAAATCCACAAAAGCACAACAAAGAAATGAACTACTATTATAAATGGTTATACATGTGACATTACAATTATGTACTTAATATGTAGTTATGTGTACATAGTGCTTTGAAACATACTTTTTTTTAATTTATTTATTATAGTCGCAAAGAGAGAGAGGCAGAGACACAGGCAGAGGGAGAAGCAGGCTCCATGCACCGGGAGCCTGACGTGGGATTCGATTCCGGGTCTCCAGGACCACGCCCTGGGCCAAAGGCAGGTGCTAAACTGCTGCACCACCCTGGGATCCCTGAAACATACTTTTAAAAAGCTTTAGTTGCATTTTCCTCATACTTTAAATATCTTTAACTACATCATTTTTAATGACTGCATTACAGTCATCGGGACTGTGGGGATAATTAAGGGTACCTATCTCAAAGGGTTATGCCATGAGCACTGACCGGAGCTATGTCATGTGAAGAGACCCAGCATTTGTAAAAGGCTAGATAAACTTAGCTCTTCCGCAGGATGGCTTTATATAACCAATCCTTTTTTTTTTTTTTTTTTTGCTGAGCATTGGAGTTATTTCCATTATTTTGATATGGCAAATAACGCTGGGCTATATTAATCTTTGCTCATATCTTTGGTCATTTCCTTAGTAAAGTTCAGGACTGCTGGGTTTGCACATTTCACAATTTCCCACTGAGCACGTAGGGGAACAGAGAGAGAAAGGGGCTGGCCCAGGCTCACACAGCGAGCTGCAAAGGCGGACCTGGAGACTAGCTGGGGAGCCCAAAGGGCGCCTCATCGTGTCGGGGACCGGGTGGAAGGCCTGGCCAAGGGAGAGAACGAGGCTCCAGAGCGGCGGCGGCCGCGGGAGCAGCAGGCCGGCGGGGCAGAGCGGCGCTGGGCTGGGCTGGCGAGGCGGGGCGCTCGCTGGCGGGGCCCAAGCTAAGCGGTCGCCTGGCAACCCCGGCGGCGCGGCGTTCGAACGGAAGCGAGGAGCCAATCAGGATGTCCGGGGCAAACCATTCCGGCGGCGGGGGGAGAGCGGCGAGCTCACTTCCCTTTCCTCTGCGCCCCGGGGACCTCCGGGCCGGTGGGGGCCTGGGGACAGCCTGGTGCCCCGGTTCGTCTCGGGTACGCGCAGCCGCTCGGAGGAGGCCCCTGCGGGTCCCCACGCCGGGTTGGGGGCGCACCGAGCCGCCTTGGACGCGGCCATTCCCAGCCCGGGTCGGAGCTGTCAGCCTCTTCCGAGACCCGCACGGGCGGAGCCGGGACTCGCCGAGCTCGGGCTTCAGGTGAGGGGGCGGGTGGTCTGGGTCGGAGGGGGTCCGGTCGCCGAGCGCCTGCTGTATACGTCCTCCCGGCGTCGTACGTGCGGGAGGAGGTGGTACCCCATTTCACGGAGGAGAACGCTGAGGCGCCCGGAGGCAAGTGTCCCATCCCTGGTTGAGAATCCAATTCACATCTTTCAGCTCCACCTCGAAATCTCCAGTCTGGGTAGACCTAGATTTGCCTGGAGAGGTCCAGACGCTCAGCTGGTGGTCAGATCCTCAGCCTGCAAGGCTGCTATGCCCTGGAGCCCAGGCTGGATCACCCACCTCCTGCTCCGCTCCTGCATTGCCCCCTGGGTGCCCCCTCTGGGCATCTGTCTTCCCTTCTCTAGGACGCCAGAGGTTGGATTCAGGGCTCGTTTGGGGTCCTTCTGCCCACAGGGTACTGAATCGCAGTGCCATCTCAAAGGGCTGTTTTGGGGGATCCGACTGGACCGACGTGTCTTGGTTAGGTGCTAGGTGGGCAGCAGGTGCTTTGGCCCTGGAACCACTGTTAGATTCTTGAGAATCTGCTCCAGGCTGGGGGAAATGGGTAAAGGCAGCCACTGAACGTTAAGCCACTAGTCAGCAGAGACTTTGGAGTTCAGGATGGGGCTGCTGACACCTCTGGCTGGAGCATCATACCTAGACCAGGCCCTGACTCCTGGGGATGCTCTGGGAACTCAGAAAGAAAATAGGTCTTTCATTTATTCTTTCAACAAATATTTATTGACTTTGTATGCCATGCCCTGCCCTCCCCTTTGTCTATTTTGTTTTTCTCAGTGGCATTTACCCATCTAATGTCCTCTGTATTTCACTTATTAGGGAGTTGATATCGTCTTCCACTGGAATGTGATAGGAGGAGGGGCTAAGTTTGCCTCCAGGGCAAAATTGAGGGGTGCCAAAACCTCTAATCAAGATAACTAAAGCTAACAGTTATTATTTTCTTAAATATTATTTTTTATTTTAGAGAGAGAGAGAGAGAGATGGAATGTGGAAGTGGGGGTGGGGGATTGAGGGTGAGGGGGCAGGGGCAGAGGGGGAGGGGAAACAGATCCTCCTTTTGCAGGGGAGTTCAAGGGGGGAGGAGGGGAAGCTGGATCCTAGGACCCTGAGATCATGACCTGAATGGAAACCAAGACTTGGAAGCTCAACCAACTGAGCCACCCAGGTGCCCTAAAGCTGTTACTATTTGCTGCGTGTTCTGCTGGTAGAGATCAACTCACATGGCCTCTATGGAACACAGTACACCGTCTCTGTCACGATTACAAGCACGTCCTCAGCCCAGCTGTCTCACTTCTAGGCAACGCAATGTAGGTGCAGTGACGCCGCAGGCTGGTTTGTAATAGGGCAGGTCTGGACACACACTAAATTGTCATCATCAGGGGCTGACGAGCTCTTTATGTTACTGATGTGCCACCACACATATTTTTGGGCAACATATATTATTAAGTATATTAATACATATATTAGAATTAATACTATATTAACATTATTAAAACAACATTTATTATTGAGTAAAAAGAGCAAGGTGAATACAGTACACACAGCGTGTTGCCATATGTGTACAAAAATAGAAAGAATTTATACCCACTATTGCTTGATCTATCTAAAATCTCCCTGGAAGGACACACAGTTGTCTGGTTACAGTGGCACCTGCAGGGAGGGGAACTGGGTGGCTGGGGACAGGGGTGGGAAAGATTTTGTTTTTTACTTCATTCTCTTCATAGTTTTTGAATTTTGAGTCATGGGCATATATCATCTGGTTGAAAAATTATATACATATGAATCATTATAGATGATATATTGATCATAAGACCAGTGCCCCATCTGTGATCTGTCATTGACTTGCTGTGTGACTTTGGGCAAGTTTCTTCACCTCTCTGGGCCAAGATAAGAAGCCATGATGGCAAACTCAGGTCTGGGAAGAAGGCAGTCCAGGACAGGAAGTGGGCTTGCCCCGGAGTCTACCCCAACCTCCACCTTCACCATCCTTGTGTTCCCTGAGGCTTTGCATGCGGTCTCTGTCTCCACTGCAAGCCCGTTTGTCCTCATTTTGCAACTTCAGTTACAAACTGAGGCACAGATAATTGAGCTGGTGGAGCTGGGCTATCGCTGGCCGATAGAAGATCAGTGCTTCAGGCATCTGTGCCCACAGCCCTCCTTCAGTCCGCTCACCTCTCTCTTTCTGAGATGTGTGCAAGTGTGCCCTGGGCAAGGCCCACTGCAAGCAGGCCAGGGCATGAGTGTCTGGGGAGACTCCAGAAATAGCACGGAGCCCTGCGTGGTCCTGGAGGATGCCCAGCTGGGTGTCTCTGACCCGGACAGCTGGGCTGAAATCGAGCTGGCCTGCCCTATTGGCTGGCCCCCTCCCTGCTGCCTGGAGCCTTCCTGATCCTCCTCTGGGGCAGGTGAGGGCCTCCCTGTCTCCACCCAAGTCAGGGCCTGGCTTCTGCCGAAATGGAAACAGCGAAGCAGGTGGAAGGAAGGGGTGGGGTGGGGGGGTGCAGAATGTCATGATAACTATAAACGTGGAAGCCACACCTCTTGCCCCCTCGGTGAGGAATAAACAATCACTGACACCTTCTGAGCACTTACTATGCATCAAGTGCTTTATAAGCATGCACTCATTTAATTCCCTCAATTCTATGATGTAAGGTAGTTCCTGCTGCTATTTTTTCCACCTTACAAAGGGAAACTGAATGCAAGAGAGGTTTAGGAGCTTGGACCAGGTTATCCAGGGAAAGAATGTGAATCTGGGGGGGGGGGGGGTCTGGCTCCAGACTCACTTTCTTTTTTGGTAAAAAGTATATAACATAAAATTTAGCATTGAAACCATTTGTAAGTGTACAGTTTAGCGGCAATAAGTACATTAAGTGCAACCCTCACCACCATCCACTTCCAGAACCTTTTCATCTTCCTAAATGGGAACTCTGTACCCATTGAACATCAGCTCCCCATTTTCTCTTCCCCCAGTCCCTGGAAAGCACCTTTCTACTTACTGTGTCTATGGATTTGACTATTCTAGGCACCTCATGTAAGTGAAATTATACAATATTTGTCCTTTTTCCCCCAGTATTTGTCCTTCTGTGTCTGACTTATGTCATTTAGTATAATGTCTTCAAGGTTCACTCAGGTTGAAGCAGGTGACAGAACTTCCTTCCTTATAAAGGCTAAATAATATTCCTTCGTATGTTCATCTGTACATCTGTTCATGGACACTTGGGTTGCCTCCACCTTTGGAACACACAAAGGAACATTGTGTGTTCCACACAATGGAACATTGGTGTACAATATCTGTTCAAGTGCTTGGTTTCAATTCTTTTGTGTTTACACGCAGGACTAGGATTGCTGGATCCTATGGTAATTCTTTTTAAAACTTTTTCCCAACTGCCATCCTGTTTCCACAGTGGCTGCACCATTTTATATTCCCACCCAGAGTGCACAAGGGTTCCAATTTCTTCACATCCTCACCAACACTTGATATTTTCTGTGTTTTTGGGTTTTGTTTTTTTTTTTTTGTGTGTGTGTTTTTGCTTGCTTGCTTGCTTGCTTGTTTTGATATTGGTCGTCTTAATGGATGTGACATGTTATCTCACTGTGGTTTTGATTTACATGCCCCTAATGATGCATGATGCTGAGCATCTTTTCATGTGCCCGTAGGCCAGGTGTGCACTTTCTTGGAAGAAACGTCTGTTCAAGTGGCCCTGTGTGCTTCGATTTGTAAACTCTGAGAGAAGTGGGTCAACATTCTGGGTGTGAGGTCCTCGCCCAGGAGCTGGGCACCGCAGTATGACATTTTGGTGGCATTTGTCATGCATAGGCTGGGAAAGAGGCACTGTTACAAGTCCTGTTTTACAGTTGGGGAAACCGAGGCCCGGGACAGTTGACTGTCTTACCCCAAGTCTATAGCTAATCACTGGTGGAGCTGGGTTTTGAACCCAAGTAGGCTGGTTCCAGAGTCCATGCTACAGAGGGAGCCATGGTGCTGGTGTAGGGAAGGGCACTGTAGGAGCAGACCCTCAAGTGCAAGGGTTTGGACATGATGTCTTTGGAGAAAGAATAGGGCTCATCTAGAAGTGGCCAGGGCCCAACTTGAATGGGGGGTGACATGAGGCTGGAGGGGAGGAGGAGAGGTGAGGGAAGATCTCGGGTGGGACAGGGGGTTGGGAAGAGGCTTGGTACTGAAGGGCCTTGGTCTTTGAAGTGGCCTGGGTTCCAGTCTTGCTACTTAGTCAATGGTGTGCCTGTCGGCTTGGTCACTGGAGGATGAAAATACAGAAATAGGAAACGAGTGATTGATAAGTGAATATCTAAAATGACAAGGTGGGATAATGTGTGGAAGGAAACAACCAGGTGAGAGACTTGGCAGGAGCCTCAGGGTAGCCAGGGAGGCCTCTCTGAGGAAGTGAGACCTGAAGGAGGTGAGCTAAGGGGTTCCAAGCAGAGGACAGATGGTACAAAGGCCCTGAGGCAGGAAAGGGCTTGGTGTGTTCAGGAACAACAGGGAACTGTGTGGCTGAGCAGAAAAGGCTGGAGATGAGGCAGGAGTGGAGGGCAGGGACTGGATCTGGAAGGTCTGAGGACCAAGTGGAGAGTTTGGGTTTTATTCTAAGGTGATGGGGATCCACAAGTGGGCCAAGCAGAGCAGTGATGAGATATGATTGTTGGGAAAATATTGCCATCTTGCCCCCATTTTACAACTGAGGAACCTGAGACTCCAAACCACAGCCAGGAATGCTCCCTAAGGTGGCTTCTCCCTCTGGGGCCCAGAGAGGGAGGCTGTAGAGTCTTTTGGTGAGTGGCTGAAGTCCAACACTGAAAATTCTGTCTCTTCCACCTCTCTCCAGTCCGCTAGACCTGCTCCCGGGTTTATATCCTAGTTCTGCCATTTACCTGCCATAGAACCTCTGGCAAGTGGCCCCACCTCTCTGTGCCTCAGTTTTCTCAACTGTAAAATGAGCATAATAGGAGTACCTCAAGGTGAGTGTGAGGATTCAATGAGTCAACATATATAAGGAGCTTAGAATAGTCCAGGTGCAGAGAAACACTTAGAAAATTTCTTCCCTATTATGAAAGTGTTAGTGTTTCTTTGCTTTTACTATTATTGTTGCCTAACTGACCCCTGTCCCCATTGTTGCCTCAGTAAGGGCCAGGCAGGGACTCAGCAGAACATTGTAGGGGATGATGGTCTTTAGGCTGATCTCTCTCATTCCCCTAAAACCAGGCTCCAGAGCCTGGAGGAGACCTCAGAGCTGACTCACTCCCAGGGGAAGGAGAGTTGTTCTCTGAGTCACTTCCTGTCCCCTCATAGCCCTCCACCCCAGTCAGGGTGCAGCCCCCACTGGGCGCAGATATGGTTTCCCCAGGGCTCAGGACTGAGGCCAGTGGGGCACTTCCTTCTCTGGGCCTCAGGATCCCAGTGGAAACTGGCCTAATCAAATGTGCCACCTGAAGTGACACAGTAGGGCTTGGGTTGGCAGAGGACACAATCATGTCCCTCCCAAGGATTCATTCCTGCAGTGTTGCAGTCTTCTCATCTGTAAAAAAAGATTAAATAGTTTCTCTCTGGGGGTGGTGGCGGTGATGGTGGGGAATATCCAGAGACTTACAGGAGTATGGTGCCTGGAACTCAAACATTCTAGTTATTACTATTGCTGCCATCGTTAGTAAATGTTTATGGCTGGCACAGAGCTTTTACAGGCACTCTCAGACCCTGACCTGACCTGGAAGGTGAGACTCCTCTCACTTGGCAGAATGGAGGGCCCAAGGGGTCCAGCAACCTGCCCAGGGACACACCTGTAGAAAGGGGTGGCCTTGAGGTTGATCTACAGGGAAAGTGCCCAGGTCGGACTTCTCAGGGTGACTTTGGTCAACTGGCTCAGCCTGTCGCAGTCTCAGTGTGCCATTAGTCAAATGCGGATAATAGAGTTCACCTCATAGGGGTTGTTGCCAAGATTAAAATGGGTTAATGAATAGCAGGAACAGCACTTTCTCGTGCCTGGCACAGCCAACATTCATGCCGTCATTGCGGCTGTGAGAGAGCGGGGGACTCCGTTTTGCCATCTCCAGGATGGGCGCACTTGGCCGCGCAGTGCCGGGGGCCAGATGTGCGCGCGTGTGGCCGGTGCAACTGTCGGGACGGGGGGGTGGGGGGGTGGGGGGACGGCCCGGCTCGCGGGACAGTTTCCTGGGTAGGACCGGGCAGCTGGGCCCGCGTCCCCGGCGCTCCTGGGCTCAGGTTCTGCCCCCTGCCTGGCTTTCGTTCTTCCCTTTCGGGTAATAACCTGGGCCGGCGGGTTCACCTGCCCAAGGCAGGCCGCCGGAAGTTGCGCAAACGCGTGTTACCTGAGCTCCAGGTGGGCCGGGCCCGGGGAGCGCTCGGTAGCGGCGCGCGTAGCCAGGTATGTGCGGGCCCGGGGCGCGGGGTCGGGGCTGGGGGGCTCCCCGGGCACCCCGCCTTCCTCGGGAAGGCGGAGACGGGTCAGGGCTCCCCTTCCGGCCCGGACGAGACCGCACGCATCGTGCCGTCAGCGCCCGCACTTTGCGAGCCAGGTGGACCCGGCCTCAGAGAGGGGCGGCGAGCCACGGAGCCACACAGCGCGCCGGCGGCTGCGGCCTCAGCCGCGGGGAGTCCCCAGGGGCCGCGGATCTGAGCTCCCCCAACCCCGAAGGCTGCCTCCGGGGAAGCAGGTGGGAAGGGGCAAGGCGGGGCTGCAAGCCCGGGGTGGCCGAAGAGGAGCGCTAACGGCTGGCGCTCCGGGGGCCTTTTGTGGGTAGCACTTGAAATACGTGGGTGGGGGCGTCGGCGGGGAGAGGCGGCCTCAGCACGAGCCCCACCCGGGGACTGCGACCCGGGGTTTTAACTCGCAGGAGCCGCCACACCTCCTTTTGCCCACCTGTGAAATGGAGCTTATTCTGGTCAGTGTAGGCTTAGCCCGCATCACGTGCCTCCTTTGTCTGCGGCTCGGGCTCCGACCGGCGGTTCTGGAGCGCGCTTAGAGACCGCAGCCGGAGGGGGTGGTCTGCGGGGTTGGTTGGGTCGTCAGCGTCGCCCTAAAAACCAAGGAGCCCAGTTCTTGGAGCGCAGCCTTCTGGCCAGGTGCTGGGAAAGTCCTCGACCTGTTTTACCTCTCATCCCCGCAGAGACCTCGAGGCTCAGGTCTATTTTTAACCGCATCTCAGATAAGGAACCGCGAGCCTAAGAGGCGCAGCTGCTGGAGGGAGGCGCACAGGTGGGCAAGCTGACCAGCGGCCCCCAAGCCGGGGGCGGCTCCTTGCAGGTGTCCGGGCCCCCGGGGAGCCCCTGCGACCATTAGGTCGGCCCCAGGGCGTGGGGCTTCGGCCCTGCCCCTGCCCACCTGACCTCCTCCTTCCCTCTGTGTCCCCGGATGGTGCCCGGGAGGGAATTGCCACCGCCAACGGGTCGGACTGGTTTGGTAGGCGGTGGCCCGAGGAGGTGGGGCAGAGTCTAGTTACCTCCACAGGGCTCGGCAGGGCTGCCTTTCCTGGTAGACCCTTCCTGCCTGAGGTCTCCTTGGGGTCGCTGGAGTGAGGCAGCCTTCCTTTCCCACCACTCCATCCCTTCTACCTGGGCGTCAGCTCTGGCTCTAGGCCAACAGCCCCCAAGGTTCTGTTAACTGGCATTGCTGCCTGCCCTTGCAGGGGTCTCAGACTGGGGGCTAGATTGGGGTGGGGAGAGCACATATGCTTGCAGACGTGTTTGCTCCGTCCACGCATGTTTTAAAAGTCATGTCGGAAATGCTAAGATTTAAGAACCTGGTGTGTTCGTGCACATCTGGATTTCCAGCTTCCTAGCATGTTCCATACCTACCATCTTGGGCACGTATGCCTGCAATACACTGAATGTGTCTCTGGTTTATCCAAGGTCTGCCCTTTCGCACCTTGTCCTCATGGTCACTGCAATTCAATAGCAGTTTATTGAAACTATTGTGTGTTGAAAAGCTACAGATTCAGTGAGCGAAGAAGACAAACCCCCTGCCCTTATGGAGCTGATGTTGTAGGGGAATGGGAAGAACAAAGAGTAAAATGAAATAAAGGCAATAGATGAGTGAAGTAGGCTTCATATGAATTTGTGTCTTATTTACGGACTCTGGGACCTAGGATGGTCACAACTCTAGGCTAGTCTCAGTTTCTTCAACTGTAAAATGAGATGATAATGACCCTTCTCACAGGCTTGTTGGAGGATTCCACGAGACGGTGTCAAATGTCTAGCACACAGGTAGGCATCCCTGCCTTCCCACCCCAATCTAGACTCTCCTCCTGTCATTCTGGGTGACGATGTGCGGCTTGTCCACTATAGCCTTCTGCTATGGATGAAAATCTCTGATCTGCACTGTCTGCTCTAGACTGCTGTAGTGGCTGTTGAGCACTTGAAATGTAGTTAGTGTGATTGAGGAACTGAAGCGGAAATTATTATTCAATTTAAATTTAACGCTAAGGTTGAGTAGTAGCCATTGAATTAGATAACACAGGTGTAGATGGTCTGAATGACAAGTCCTCTTGGGAATTACTGAGATAAAGTCCTCCTCTCATTTTACAGATGAGAAGTTTCAGGACTTGGTCTGTGAATTTTCTTCTGGCCCACCTCTGGGAGAGTTGGCAGGGGACACTGTGACTCCAGCCCTTTCTTGGAAAAAGGCCTGGGGCACCAGGTCCTGCTGCTTAGGTGATCATATGGACACGTGTGCACCCAGGTGTGGGTCCCCTTGCCAATGAGTGCCTGTCCTAGCTGTCGGTAGATCCAGGGTCTTCTGGGTGCTCTCCAGCAGGGTCTTGGGATTGTGGTGGGCATTTCTAGCTTCTCTTGGAACAGCATAGCTCAGGGCTGACATTTTAGCTGACAGACATCCATGGATCACTGTGGGCCTGGCACTGAAGTCCCATACTGGAAGTTGATAATTGTCTGCAAGTCACTGGGATAGGGGGTGGGGATTTTTTACACTCCTCCCCCACCAGTTCTACTGCTATGCCTGGGGCCTGGCATGTCTAGACGGGCAGCTTCCTGCCTGGGTGGGTAAGAGTAGGAGGTGGTACCAGGTTCCCTGGGGGCAGTCCAGGTGAGGCGTGGGGTTGGAGCCCTTTCTCTGGGTCATCAGGTGCGCCAGCACCTCCCTGCTAGAAGCAAGGGGGTAGAGCTACCAACTTACTGGGTTCGCTTAATCAGGTAGATTGAGCCCCCTGCGCTTCAGTTTCCCTACCTGCAATAATGGGGCTGTTAAGGGGACCACTGAGGTTAAGCTGGCTGGTGCCCAGCATACGGTCTGGAGCCCACTTGGCTTCCTTTAAAGCGTGCCTTGCCCTGTCTTTTCTGCCCAGGCTGCTTTCCTCTGTCTTCTTTGGCACTTTTTTTTTCCTCTCTGCCTCCGCTGAGCTTGGTCCTCTGAAAAGGAGGCGGGGATGTGGGTGGGGCCACCCTCCAGGGTGGCTTTCTGTATGCTGATTGGCTCCCTGTAAGCCAGGGGCGTGGCTATTACCTTTTAATAGGGAAGGCGTCTTCGGCCCTTTGAGTCTGGCTGAGCCTTTGTCTGAGCCTGCTTAACCTCTTTCTTTCCTCCCCTGCAGCCGTTGCCGGCCTCCAGCTGCCAGCTTTCTGCCTGGATCTTTCTCCGCATTTCTCCTGTCTCCTCAGACCGAAGCCCTTGGGGTATGTAACAGTCATGCCCGTGGACACACTGACTCCAGGAGCCCGGGACACCCCTGCCCTACCTTTCCGCCTGCGGACCAAGGTCCCTGGCTACCTGCTACGGCGGCCAGCAGATGGTGGAGCCCGGAAACCTAGTGCTGTGGAGCGCCTGGAAGCTGACAAGGCCAAGTATGTCAAGAGCCTGCATGTGGCCAATACCCGCCAGGAACCTGTGCAGCCCCTGCTGTCCAAACAGCCACTCTTCAGCCCTGGGACTCGCCGTACCGTGCTCACACCTAGCCGCCGAGTCCTGCCTGGCCCCGGCCGCCGGCCCCAGCTGGACCTGGACATCCTTAGCAACCTCATCGACTTGTGTGACAGTCCCGCATCCCCTACTGAGGCCAGCCGTACCCCTGCACGGACAGAGGGAGCCCACCAGGCACCCCCAGCCACCCCTCCACGCCCGCCACCCAGTACAACTGCTGTCCGCCGAGTGGATGTCCGTCCCCTGCCTGCCTCACCTGCCCGGCCCTGCCCATCACCAGGCACTGCCACTGCCTCCAGCCCAGCCCGGCCCCCAGGTTTGCAACGCTCCAAGTCGGATTTGAGTGAGCGTTTCTCAAGGGCAGCAGCTGACCTGGAGCGATTTTTTAACTTCTGTGGCCTAGACCCGGAGGAGGCACGGGGGTTGGGGGTGGCCCATCTGGCACGGGCTAGCTCAGACATCGTATCCCTGGCTGGACCCAGTGCTGGGCCTGGCAGCTCTGAGGGGGACTGCTCCCGCCGCAGCTCTGCCACCGTTGAGGAGCGGGCCCGGGAGCGCGTCCCTTATGGGGTGTCAGTAGTAGAGCGCAACGCCCGTGTGATCAAGTGGCTGTACGGGTTGCGGCAAGCACGGGATCCCCCAGCAGCTGAGGGCTAGGCCTCCACTGGACTTGGCATTTGCCACAGGACAGATCTTAGAGGGGCAACTGGCCCCTTGACCTCTTCAGTATCTATTCCCTGGCTTGGGCAGACCAGAGGTTGTTACCTTGTGTGAACCTGGCATGGGGGCAGAACTCAGAGGCTGGACCAGCATCCATCTGGCAAGGACTGACCCTGGAGAGAGTTGCCTCTTGACCTTGGGCCACCTTCTACCCCTCACATGTAGGGGTTTTGACACTAGCCCTGCCTGGTTCTTCTTGTGGGTTTGGATCCAGGGCACTCAGCCTTCTCCACTGAGAGTGAAGGACCAAAGGATCTTACTAGGCCTGTCTACCTAGCGGTTCTGTTTCCTTCTTCCTTGGCCTCTAACCTTTGCTGACTTCCTCTTCCTTTCCCAGTGGGCCCTGGTTCCCTGGGAACTTGGCTGTGGGTGGGGGCAGGGCCGTGGCGGCCTGGCCTACCTAGGTGGGTAGACTACAGGAGGGACTAGTAGGAGTCTGTACCGCTCTGACTTCTCTCCCTTTGGTTAATAAACACAAATGCTTGTTTTTCAAGTGCTGGGTCATCAGACTTTTTTTTGTGTTCACAAGGGAAAGGGGTGGGAGAAGTCTTGGGATAGGGCCTTCTGAACACCATAATTGTTTACCCCAGAATCTGGTGGGGCATGAAGTCAGTGGTGGGTCTGGCCACAGAGTGAGTCTGGGTAGAGCCAGGAGTGAGGTCTTTCCCCTGCATCAGGAAGGGGACCTGCAGGGGAAGAGCTGATGGGGGCATGAATCCTTCCCACTGCTGCCCTGTTCTCAAGGGGGGCAGGAAACTCCACACAAAGTCTGTACACAGGCTTGTAGATTGGGGGTTGTAAGCAGGAGTTCTTAGAGGAAGAGGGACAACTTGGGGCAGACAGCACAGAACAAGCAGCCTTGCCTCCAACTCTGGGTTAGCCTGGGTAAGCCAGTCTCCCTCTCTGGGCCTCAGTGGGAGAGTGAGGCAGCAAGTCCTCAGGGGGCTGGGGGAAGGGGAAGGATGGCTGGCACTGGGCTGTGAGGTCCTCCAGGCTGCTTCCCTGCTGGGAGATGCCCCCTGGCCTCTAGTGCCGCCAGGCGAGGGCGGGTCACACAGGGCACACACATGGTGAAAGCCTGGGTGGCCTCTGCCCACCCCCCGGGGTGGGAGCGGGGAGGGGCTGGGCGGGGCTTCCTCTCCTGCAGGCTGCCTTGGCTGCAGCACTCAGAAACAGGAAGCTCTAATGGGGGCCCTGGTGACAGGTTTGATGTAAGTTTTATTTTAGGCATAAAGAGGAGATTTCCGTTGGGCTGTTGACAAACATCCAGGGCAGCCCAGCTGTTTGTCTGTCTGTCTGTCTGACAGTCTATGGTCAGCCCCCAGGGGATTGGGTTGGGCCTGGGCAGTGCAGGGGACAAGGGAAACTGGGTTATAGAAAGTGGTGCTCCAGCTCATGAGAATGGAGTCCACCCCCTTCATGATAAGGAAGGGGAGACTGAAGCACAGGGGCACCCAGCAGGTCTGACGATGCAGGAGTTGAGTGTCTTGGTCCCCCCCTTTAAGAAGTGATGGGGTGGGGAGGGATAATCCTGGCCTCAATCCTTTGAGGTGTCAAAGACCAGCTCCTCCAGTCAACCTGGCCTGAATTCTGTGCTAAGTGTTGCCCCTCCCTGGGAGCTGCCAGCATCCCAGAAGCCCAAGTGGATGTGTTGGCTGCATTTTAGATCACAGGACTGGTGGGTGATGGGCCGGGAGAGCCCTTGTTCCTGGAGGAGGTTAAGTCGTAGGTGCAGACCCTTCACACTCACCTCGTCACTGAATCTTCAAGGTGACCTTGCCAGGGTCTGTCTGAGAACAGGAGGGGTCATGGCTTGGGGGATGACACAGAGCAGGTCTGCATTCCAGCCTGGGGTCACACACACAGTCAGGGGCACTCTGACTCCTCTCTTCCTTGTCCTGGGTCCTGGCAGCCTTTCCTCCTGTCACTTTATGGAGCATCTGCTGGGTGTCCAGCTATGAGTATGACAGGCGTGGGTCCTGACATATTTGGTGGATGTGAGTGGGCAGTTCATCAGCAAACACAGAGTTGTATCATGTGAAGCAGGGACTCCTGCCCTAAGACCAGACCTGTTGCCAGGAGCTGGGGCCAGGGGTGGTCAAGAGGGCATTGGGAGAGTCTGTTGGGAAGAGAGCAGGGAAGCATTCTTGGAAGTGGAGAAGGTGTTTCCGGGTCTCTGGTTCCACAAGGGCTTCCCTTCTACCAGGATTCTGGAACCTATCCGCCTCCCATGTGGGGGATCTGTGGAGAGAGCGGCTGGGGGCCTCTGCCAGCCTTAGGGATCTGTGGGAACAGCCCCTCTATTGTTCTGCCTTTAGTGGAGTGTGAGGGACAGTGAGCATTGAGGGCCAGCAGCTGCTGCCCCATCCCCTGGGGCTGCCTGGCTTCCATAGCAGCGCCCCCAGGCCAGACTGGCCCCAGCTGCCCAGCCCCTAATTAGGCAGAGATGAGATCTGCTCCCAGATCTATTTCCCAGCAGCTAATTATATACACGTGGGCTTGGAAGCCCAGCAATCTGGCTGCTCGCTCCTGTCATGAAGGTGTGATGGGCCCCTGGGAAAGGCACCTGTCCCCGCCTGCCAGGCCTCAGTCTACCCTTTTGGCAGAGGATGGGATGTAGCTAGAGGGCCCTGTTCCTTTTCCTGGTGAAATGGTTCTGGTTCTGGTTCTGCTACAGAGGCATTCAAGGGGACCAGGGAGAGGAGACACCCATCCTGCTTGACACCCTGTGTCCAGGGCAGCAAGGAGCGAGTGAGGAATTAGTCTACTGGGCCCTGACTAGATCTCAGGATAGGTGAGGACATATGCAAGAGTATGGTGATAGCTGCCCCTCAGGTAGACATGCATGTAGGCTTAGAGTTGTGTGGGTCTTCCCAGGTCCAAGACAGAACACCCCATTCAGGTTTTTTTTTCAGATAGTGCATTCATATATTTACCCCAGCACTTTATTAAGAAAATTTTCAAACTTAAAGGAAACTGGAAAGAATGATACAGCAAACACTTACATATCCACCTACTGGATGTTCAGTTCTTACTATTTTGTTAAATTTGCTCTACAGGCATCTATCCATCTATACATCAATTAAGACAACCTATTTTTTGAAGCTTTACAAAGTAAGTTGCAAATATCAGTACACTTTCCCTTAAAGGCACTTTAGCATGTATACCACTAGAGCTCCATTAGAGCCCAATATTTGTTTATGATTCTTTTTTTCCCGTGTGTATGTAAAATTTATATCTGGTGAAACGCACAGATCTTAAAGGTACCCTTTGCAGAATTTAGACAAATGTATACTGTTTCCCAAACTCCAGCCAGGATATAGAGCAATACCATAACCATGGAAAGTTCCCTCATGTCCCGTGTCTGTCAATTCCTGTCCCTAGCTCATGGATACATCTATGTATCTGTATAAATTAAATAGTACTAATAAGAAACATTTTCTCGCTGTGTCCTTCCTACTCCTGATCCGTTAAACAGCCACATTCAACTCTTTTAACTATTTTTTCTGGTACTTTCTTCCATATTTTTAAGTAAGATGCTTTCTTGTGGTTTTCTGGATTAATTTTTAGCAAATATTGCCTGACTTTCTGGTCTGATGTCTTCACAGTGTTGCTTCTGTAACCTCACTGCCTGGATTTGAATCCCAGCCTTTACCTTCCTGGCCATATGACCACAGGCAAGTGACTAAACCTCCTTGTGCTCAGTTTCCTCACTTGTAAAATGAGAGTAATAAGAATATTTGAGCTATTGGATTGTTATGAGGATTCAACATGTAAAGTGCCTAGAATAATGCACCAGAATAATTATTCTGGCTGTGGTAAAAAATGTTTTTTTTATAATTATTATTATCAAGGAGGGATTAACTTTTCTCACCCGCCTATACTTTCAATCTACATTTATTACAATTTTCCATTAAGTGAATATTTAGTGTTATTTATATTGTAACTATGCAAATATTGTTTCCTGCCAAGCCAAATCGCATATGACAGTTACATTTCCTTTCTTGTGAAACTCTTGGTTTTCCCTGGAGTTACTATCAGCCTTGTTTTTCAGTCCTGTGGTTTCCTCATAACCAACTCATCCTTAATTCTCTGACATCTTCAGTGTCCCCATAGTTATACACAGAAGGTAATGTATTGGTTCCAACTTCCTTCCTGAAACTCTTCAAGTGATCTTTAACACCACCCCTACTTAAAAAAGAAGTATGACCAATTTCTAAAATAGAATATCAAGCACATGTACAATCTGTAATATAAGCATTTGTGAGCATCCCCTGCGTGTCCCTGCTGGTGGGTCTCTAAGAGGGATAAAAACTGAAGCTGTGACCCCCACTGCCAGGCCTTTCTATGTACCCATGAGGATCTCTCAGCACCATCTGTTCACTGTGCCAAACTCTGGCTCATTTTGCGCTTTTACTTTATGCATCCCTTTGTTCAACTAAAGGCTGCTGAGTCCTTTTCCATGCCCTATATTGTGCTGGGCAGTACCAGGGATGTAGAGCTTGGGTATTGTTGACTTACCCATTCCCAAAATATATTTACATTGACATGTGAACCTGAATAGTGGTCTGAATAGAGGTGTGTGTGGGGTTGGGTGATGGCTGGGAATATCTTCTGCAGGTGACCTGTAAGGGGTATGTCTATGTGGGTGCTGACAGATTACCTGTAGGAGGCCATTTACATACACTTACGTGCATATGTGTATGTGTATGGGTGTTGTCTCCACAGTGTATATTCACAGATTATGTGTATTAGTTAGTTTTTGCTGCATAACAAATCTCCCTAAACCTAGTGGCCTAAGACAATTTATTTGTCCATGATTCTTCAATTGGTAATTTGGACTGGCCTCAGCTGGGTGGTTCTTCTGGTCTTACCTAAGCCCACTCATGTGGTTGCAGTCAGCTGGTCTCAGAGGGCTTCATCCACATGTCTGGCAATTGGCAGGCTGAGGGGTGCTTCCAGTCACCTCCATGAGGTTCACCCCCATGAGGCCAGCTTGGGCCCATTCACATGGTAATCTTGGAGTACCACGTTGAGCAAGAGAAGACAAGCAAGCTCCAATGCACACAAGCTTTGGAAAGACTCTGCTTGTGTTGTGATTACTAATGTCCCATTGGCTAGACAAAGTGATGTGGCTGAGTCAGATTCAAGGAGTTGAGAGATAAACTCCATCTCTTAGTCACATTGCAAAAGGGCATGAGGACAAGCGTGGAGGAATGATTACAGCCGTTTTTCAATTTAGCATGACCTATGTGTGCCAAGGGAAAGTACCCAATTGTGCAATCAGAGAAACCTGGATTTCTTGGTGCTGCCTCCTACTTACTATCTGTCCTTGGTCAAGCTACCTCACCTCTCTGAGCTTCACACAAACTAAGGAGACAATCTTTGTAAAGTGCCTGTGCCATTCATTTGTTCATTAATGCAACACATATTTGTTAGCGTGAGGCACACCCTGCGACACCATAGTGAGCAAAATTAACCAGAACACCCGCC